ACACTCAGACCTTGACAAAGCACTCACTAGAGTACCAAAATCTTTTTGTAATTTCTTTACATAAAACTCACACATACACACGTGGGGACTTTTATCCTATGTTTTTATATCAGTGAGTAGACATTACTTTATTATTATCGTTACTACTTTCAATGGGTGGTGATGAGACCATTATTTAGCGATGAACGATCTATTGACTCTTCTGTGGGAATACGCAGAACTCCACCCATTAACGCCAAGTGTGAAGACACGCTAATTTAAGAGAAATTATAAGTGAGAGCGTAGGGAGGAAGAGGTCCACCTCCTCCTCCCCCCACCCCATCCCCCCATTCCTACACCCTCCCTTCGAGAGGACAGTCCAGTGACGTCACTCCTGTCCTCTACCCCCTGCCCTATCCAAGGGGGGGAGGGACGCTATTTTGGGATCCACCGAGCCTTGCACTTTCATCCCAGCCGTATCGATTTTTGGTGTGACTCGGTGTTTCCTCTACGATATTTCGCTAGCTTTTATCTAACGAATGTTTAGAATATATATATATATATATATATATATATATATATATATATATATATATATATTATATATATATATATATGTCGTACCTAGTAGCCAGAACGCACTTCTCAGCCTACTATGCAAGGCCCGATTTGCCTAATAAGCCAAGTTTTCATGAATTAATTCTTTTTCGACTACCTAACCTACCTAACCTAACCTAACCTAACTTTTTCGGCTACCTAACCTAACCTAACCTATAAAGATAGGTTAGGTTAGGTTAGGTAGGGTTGGTTAGGTTCGGTCATATATCTACGTTAATTTTAACTCCAATAAAAAAAAATTGACCTCATACATAATGAAATGGGTAGCTTTATCATTTCGTAAGAAAAAAATTTGAGAAAATATATTAATTCAGGAAAACTTGGCTTATTAGGCAAATCGGGCCTTGGATAATAGGCTGAGAAGTGTGTTCTGGCTACTAGGTACGACATATATATATATATATATATATATATATATATATATATATATATATATATATATATATATCCGCTTATTAATTCTAAGCTTTATATATATCGTTTGAAGCTCCGTTTTCTTCCTATTGCGTGTGAGAGAAATTCATAAAGTTTCTGTTTGATTTTGTATTCGAAATTTCATTTTGTTTTTCGCCTATAATTTATTTCTGTTATTTTTTCCGAGTTTACAGTCATTAAGACGTCCGTCGGTCGACCACACAGACGTCCGATGGTCGACCAGACAGACGTACGATGGTCGACCACACAGACGTCCGACAGTCGACCACACAGTCGTACGACCTACCTACCTAGACGACCCATCGTTCAAGACGACTCCTATGACACTAAGTAGTGGTAGCACGACGTCGTAGGAGTACCAATAGCTGTAATGATAGTAGTAGTTGCAGCAGTATCAGTAGTAGTGTATAATTATAGAACTAATAGTTAGTGGTTGAATGGTTGAAGTGGTGGTTTATCAGTATTGGTAGTTTAACATCAGCAGAGGTACAGAGAGTAGCAGTTGATCAACAAAAATGAGTAGTTGTTGCAGTTGTTGTAGTTCTGAGTGTATTGATGTCTTCACTACTACAGTAGAGACTTAAGTCACACTTGTAGCTGAAAGAAAATTATTTGACAGAAGTAGAAATACAAGAACCAATTCCCATAGAAATAAGTCACAACAAGAGTTGATCACTAAGTACACACACACACATATATTTTATATATATATATATATATATATATATATATATATATATATATATATATATATATATATATATATATATATATATATATATAGCATGTTCTTAAAATGTTAACCAGAACGGCCTTAGAGGTCAAAATGTTATCAGGGATGGGTGGGGGAAGGGTGTTAATTTTCACTACATAAAGATATTCTCGTGTAAAGAATGTCGAAAGAAGTTTTATGTGGATGAGGTTAAATATTTTGCCAACAATGTTGATTTAAGGAGATGGAGCACCTTGGATGACAGGAATTTACATACAAAAACATTATTTAAAATCAATATTAAGAAAAATTAGGATTAACTTACCATCAAGCCTCTTCTTACTCTTGCAATTTCTAGATTGTTACCTCTACCCTAATGCTTCCTAATATAAAACAGCAATTAACATCTAATAATTCTCCCTACCTACTCAAATCTAATACATATGTGGTTCAAAAAATATATATATATATATATATATATTATATATATATATATATATATATATATATATATATATATATATATATATATATATATATATATATGTATACATATGCTACTGTTGCAAAAACTTGTAAAAAATGTGAACTATGCTGCTGGTCTTCCCAGAAAGAGCAATGCTATATACTCAATTGAAATGCATAACCAATCACAGTTTAAATACTGGGCCAAGGAACATACGAAAAAAAAAATAGAAAATAGCAATAGATAAACTTTCTGTTAGAACAGTTGGAAATTGACTTAGTACGGATATAGCACACCAAAGGCGAGTATTGCCTACTGAGACTACAAGATATAAAAATTAATTGGGAGTGGGGAAAGGGGCGATGGAGGAGGAGGAGGAGGAGGAGGGAGAGAGGGGAATGGAGGAGAGGAGGATAACAGCCTAGGCATCAGGCACACATACGCACACATGCGTACACATACGCACACAGGCTAACATGCGCGCGCATGCTTTCTAGATTCTACATTCGTGCTATCTACTTGGAGGCATCTACGAGCGTGTGGGGGGGGGGACACCAGCTGCCGGTGGGGGGGAAGGGGGGGTGTCCGAGCCCCAGCCTGGTTTAAGCTCTCTCGTGTGTGTGTGTGTGTGTGTGTGTGTGTGTGTGTGTGTGTGTGTGTGTGTATGTGTGTTTACCCAATTGTATAAACAAAAATATCATATCAGTTTTTGGTTTCTATGTCACTTGTGTAAAATTTTCATCCTGAGCCGCTCCCGAAAGTTTAAAATATTCTTCCTCTCGAGTCGCGATCTATTATATATTCCTTATATATTAGTGTTCTTTTAATATTGATTAACTATATAACTTTGTAACGTCAGAGAACATCATAATATTTTCGTCTCCAAACCTGCGACTAAAATTATCCCTAAATATTAATTGCCTTCAAAAAACAAGCAAAAATAATGGTAATTAAAGTCACGAGGCACTGAGTATGGCACCGAATATGGCACCGAATATGGCACTGAATATGGCACTGGCATTGAGCTCATTACAAGCTTTCTCCGCTGATCCTCTGCCTTACCAATAAGTGAATAACTTTCCTCTCCAGCCTCCAGGCATATGTAGTCAAGAATCGCAAGTGACAGTGGTCGAGGCTGTCTCCTGTTATCAACTCTGTAGTCTCTAACTACAGGCTTCATCAAATGACTCGATTTTCTTGTTGCGTTTCTCAATTAAGTCAATGTAACTCCGCAAATAACATATATATCCCCAATACATTGCATCTTGATTCAGTGGTCCACTTGATCTAAAAGATGTTTGCTCGGGCAGCGGGGAGGGCAATCACACCAACACAAACAGCTCACATGCAAGCCCGACCCTCTACAACACGTGGTGAGGGACAGAGGGAGGGTAGGAGGAGGCAACTGAGATGAGGAGGACGTGAGAGAAGGAATAACATGAGGAAGGAAAGCGAGGTTGGGATCGTTTGCCTTCGCCAGATTAGGGTGAGGTTTGTAAGGTAGGGGTCAGGGGAGGAAGGATAGGCGACCTCACTAGGTCAGGGGTAAGGGGAGGCGAGGTAGGGACAGCCAGAGGGGGGACGTGGGGTCCCGGGGGACGTGGGGTCCGGGGGGGAGGGAGGGCATCCCAGGTTACTCGTTGGGGGCCGGCAGATTCTGGGTGAGGGCCCCTCTACCTCACACTAAACTCGAGCTTTCTAGTCACTAGTGTAAAAACAGGAGTTGACAAACTATGAAAGACAGTCAGCCTCTAAGGCACTAGATTTCTTGACACTCATAGAACAGGCTAATTAAAATTGAGGGCAATTAGGCAAAACAGTCAAAGTCCTCTAAAAATAAGTTATACGGCTGCACTGATGTATAAGGCTGCATTCCAACTAAATCCAGGCAATATAAGGCAGCGTTACCTGCTGGAGATGACAACACCCTCGCTAACCTCTCGGACGATACTAGTGACCTTAGCCAGCTACGAACGAATCACGCACATGTGTGTGGTCGAACGCACAGCTGCACCCGTGTGGTCGAACACACAGCTGAACATACAGAGCCACAGCAGGTGAACGGGCCTACAGGTTTTAAGATGACGGAATCTGAAGAAAGCCTTCAACGTAGCGTCGTCAGCGACATACAGTCTGCTGGTGCCTACAGGCGCCGGGAAGGTCACAGAAATGGGGGCAGCAAGGAGATATAGCCACTGTGTCGTGTTGATGTGTAAGGAAAATAATTGTGGCATTGACGTGTGAGGTAGAAACGGTAGACGCATGTTTGTAAGATTGCCAAGAGAGAGAGAGAGAGAGAGAGAGAGAGAGAGAGAGAGAGAGAGAGAGAGAGAGAGAGAGAGAGAGAGAGAGAGAGAGAGAGAGAGAGAGAGAGAGAGAGAGGCGGGGGGAAAGAGGTAGTGGAAGACGAGGTCATGTAAGGATGGTCCCAAGCACCGACGAAGCATCACCACGTCCTCATCACAGCCTCCGAGAGGGGCCAAGGCCTGCACATCACCCAGCCTCAACCACCACACCGCCAACTGTCCTCTTGTTAGTGCTGTACGGTGCCCGAGTGCCAGGGACGGAAGGAGGGGAGTAATATGCCCCAGAAAATAATAGCCTTCGAGAGGGCAAGATAGGGAGTCTTAAAGATAGACGGTAAAGGAAAAAGGTAATGAGAGACAAAGGGGAGGATAGGAAAGGAGTAAGGAAGAGAGGAGAGCGAGTAAAGAAGAGGAGCGAGTGAGTAAGAGAGCGAGTAAGAATGGGAGGAATCACGGAATAGAGGAGAGAGAGTAAGGAACAGAAGAGAGGAAAGGATGTAAAAAAGAGGGGACAGAGAGGGAGTAAGGAACAGAAAAACAGAAGAGAGAAAAGATGTAAGGAAGAGAGGAGAGGGAGGGAGGGAGTAAGGAAGACAAAGAAGGTGTAAGGAAGAGAAGGAGGTAGTAAAGAAACAGACTCAAGAAGAGAAACAGTATAAGAAAAAGCAAGTTAGCCATCACACTCACTAGTGTGTAGCCCCAGAACAGTCTCCCATCTAACGAGGAATACTGTACCCCACATACCAAGTCTTGGAAGGCATTACACAACCAACAAACCAACCCGACTAAGATGCATCCAAGTGAGATTAATATAGGCCTAATGCCCAGGCTTGAAACATTCATTTAATTTTTTTTTTTTTTTGTGGTGGGAATATTTATAATTTAATTTGATAATCTCATGCTATGTTTCTAGCTGTTCTATGCCATAAAGGCTCAACAATAAAGGTATCGTCACTACCTAGAATCATTGAGCACAATACACTTGTTAAAAGTACAATCCAGCAAGCTGGGATCGACCAAGAGTCATTAATTTTATATTTTGTACATATATAAGTTAAGACATTTATCCATGGAAACTTTAAATCGACACATGGGATTTTGGTTTGCTAATTTATTGGAAATAAGGAAAATGAGTTCAGGAAAGAAAATGAAAAATATATACATATATATATAGAAGCTAACGCAGGAAAATAATGCAAGGGAAAGGGGGTATGTCTGAGGTAGGGGTCACTCAGACCAATGTGGAGGAAGGGAAAGGGGAGGTTTGTACCTTGGAGGTTTCCGCCTCTTAGACCTTGCAACTGAACACACACCTACTGACTGCTGAATCTCTACTTGACACACTCAGCACAGCGCGCGGCCCAGCTCGACAACAACACAGAATCAGCGCTATAAGACTAGCTCTCTGGTCCTCTAAAATAAATGTCCATGCAAGCATTACACGAATTAGAGTGCTATATCATAGATCAACTTTATTACAGTCTCTGCTCAATCACATAGTTTGACAACGAAATCTACGCCAGTGTGGCATGTCTGTATAACAATAGTTGAATAGTTTGGTCGACCAAATGGACTCTTGGCTGAAATTCAAAGTGTTCAAGCCTTGAGGGAAAGGGGGTTTCCAATTACCTAGGTCACCTGACTACCTGTCCATAAGGTGTGGGTACATACACGACACATCTGTGACCTGCAGCCATATGAAAGCACGTGGCCAGAGATCACTGACCTGAATTACCAAACTACCCTTATGGGAGGGTAGTCAAAGTAACTCTAGTATCTAGCATTCCTATTTAGCTCCAACATCTACATACAAGTACTTGTTAGTTTACCTTCTGGGCATCATTAGTGGCATATGTGCTGTTTAACTAGCATCTGAGTAATTGGACTAACTTGTAGTGATGAACTAGCTACTTGTAAGAGAAAAGATACGTACTCTGTACACTCTCGGCACTTCTCCTTTGCTCGAGTCCTCGCTGGAGTTAAAGTTACTACTTGTGCCTGAGTCAATGCCGCTATCTTTGGTCTGGGAGTCCTGTGATTCCTGGCGTTCCGCTTCCCAGAGTTCCTTCCTGGCGGCAGGTAGTGGAAGCTCGCGTCCACCCGACCAGTGGGGCAGGCGGCGCCCCTGTGCCAGGTCACGGGTGATGCACACCCCGCCCACCCCGAGGGGCGGCCGGGGTAGGTCCTCGTAATATACACTAGAGGCACTAGTCCACCTGGGGTCCACGCTCGGCTCCAGCTCCTCCTCCTCCAACGTGTCCCAGCCTTCCGAGTTAAAACGCACTGTTTTCTTTCTCCTCTCCGTGTAATTTCTACTATCAGTTGCCCTATTATCACAATATTCTTCACTTACTTGATTATGGTAAGTTCTTTCTAGCCGGTTCAGGTATTGGTTATATCTGTCCCTGTATTTATCTGCCAGGTCCCTGGGAAAGGACTCCAAGTCCCGATGGTTCCCTAACCCATAGTCCCGAATTTCATCCTTAGGGAGGCGATAGTCTCTGTGGTAGTGTTTCTCTCTCCGCGACCCCCCAGGCTCGCCTAGCCCAGGGCGCGGGTACTGGTCCATATCCCCTGCGGACACAAACACTCACACACTGAACTCCCAGCCAACGTCAGGGGGCCCTCCTCACCAGCGGCAGGGGGCCGCACCACCACCCTCCACTACTACCCACGTCCTGTGACGCCCACACCACGCACGCCGCCCACCACAAGCGCAGCAACACCTTACTGCCTCACCAATAAACCTTGCGCCACTGGCCTCGGGCCGGCTTCCACCGACCAAACTACTGTCGGGTAGTTGGACCCTCACTCACAGACGTGACAACCAACACACCGCACTCAAAACCACATTGTAACATTTCTATTCATAACAGTGAGGTTATACGGGCGGTCTGAACATACTAAGCCACACAACATTTGTAAATATTAAACAAGAAAGCCAAATAACATAACAGAGAGTGATACTTGGACGCCAGCAGGAGCCCCATCACGTGGCTCCTCCTACCACCTACCACCTACCACCTACGACCCTCAGTAAACATACACGCTAACCCTACCCCCGGTAAGAGCTAGAACTGCCATTCTTGGCCGCAGGACTGTGCCCCCTGGCCCCCTAGGACTCCCTGAACTCGGGCAGGATTGGCTGCTGGTGCGAACGTGCGTGGGGCTCTGGCGTGTCCCCCATGGAGTATCCTGGAGTCGACGAGGTGAGCACAGCGGACACGAGAAGAGCGGCGGGCAGCATGCAGACGGACAGCAAAACAGGCGGAAAGGGAGGAGGAGGAAGAGGAGCAGGGCGAGTGACTCAGGCGCTGGGCTCCCTCGGACCCTACACTCTCCTGCTTGCAAGCCATGAATGCTGGTCTTTGTCTCTCAAAATGCACGTCTTAGTACAAACTTTTAATTCTTATGTCTGATACAAATGTTTATGAGTCGTAAGAAACCCAGCGACTGATGCCAATTGATTATTTGCACGAACGGATTGAACGAACAGGCAGAGTTTACGAACGCCCTGAGTAAACGCGGCATGAATGAGGGAAGCAGGAGCAGACACGATGATCAGGAGCTAAAGAAAGGGATAAAAGAATAGGAGAAAGCCTGAGGAATATAACAAAAAAATATTAAGAATTAGCTTCTCGCGATAAAGCAAATTATTGACGTGAAAAAAACGAAAATTTAAACACGGTGAAATATTGGACTTGTACCAGCCCTTTCACAGACACTAACGAGATGGGTGTTACAGAGGTACTCACAGCGGTGTTACAGAGGTACTCACAGCGGTGACGGGGAGACATTACTAACTCAAGTACTCACTCACGCGGGATGGGACACGTCCTACAGTGTCCTATCCTTGTAATACCCCCTATCCGTCCATCCGGCTGGACAGAATCGGACTTTCTAATGGATGGTTGAATCCTAATTCTCTAATGGATGTAATACTACTATTAGCGATCCTAATACTACACGAAGGAACGTGATACTAGCACTGTGAACCTGGGGCCAGATTCACGAAGCAGTTAAGCAAGTACTTACGAACGTGTACATCTTTCCTCAATCTTTGACGGCTTTGGTTACATATATTTAACAGTTTACAAGCATGAAAACTTATCAATCAACTGTTCTTATTGTTATAAAGAGCCTCCTGGTGCTTCGGAGCTCATTAACTGTTTAATAATTGTAAACAAAGCTGCCAAAGATCGAGACAAGATGTACAGGTTCGTAAGTTCTTGCGTAACTGCTTCGTGAATCTGGCCCCAGGATACTAATACTTGGAGAACCTGGTTATAACACTGTGGGAAACCTGATACAATGTGAAGCCTGATATTACAACTGACGAACCTGGAAATTAATACTTAGGAAACTAATACTGATACAGGGAAATCTGATAATACAGAGTAACCTGATGCTAACATTGGGAACCTAATACTCCTCTGGGTACCTCATAATATTATATACATATATATATATATATATATATATATATATATATATATATATATATATATATATATATATATATATATATATATATATATATATGATGTATATGTATGTATGTATCCATATGATGTATACCAATATTCATGCATATATGTTGCCCGTATTTACATGGTAAACATGTAGGTACCAATATTACGTACATGTAGGTATCCATATGTTGAGTATGTATACAGCAATATGTACTACATCCAGACACAAGTTAATGCATTGAAATGTTGTATAAGTAGCAATAAATATTTATATATATATATATATATATATATATATATATATATATATATATATATATATATATATATATATATATATATATATATATACATATATATATGTATCAATACGTTCTGCGTATGTATACACACATTTCATATGTACGAATCCACATGTTGCCATGTGGTGGAGCGGTCAGGGTACTAGTTTGTGTCTGGGTGCGCGAACACCTGGGCCTTCTAGGTTCGAGTCTCTTGCAGGGGCAGAGTCTTTTGTGTGTTTACCTAGGTTTGTATGTTTAAGCAAGTACCCGTGTAAATATGTGGCTTGCGTTCTCTCTAGTAAATGCAACTGACTGATAAAAAACGAATTCTGAGCTCTTGCAGAGGTGGGAGTCTATATACTTAGTTTTATACATTTTTTTGAATGAATCTGCAGTTCTGAAAAGACTTCACCAAGCTGTGGATGCCTCTGTGACAACCATCTCTCACGTTCCGACTCGGAGCCGCAAAGAAAATCATTAATTACAATCAAACATTTCTGGACGCTTGTAAAAAAAATATTATTTTTAACCTTTTCGGTACATGTAGATTTTTACGGGTCCTTTGAACTTAGATTATCACAATGGACATAAATGAGGAGCGGCATTAAATGATTCAAGATGTTTAGCACTCACACGTAATTTGAAATTTATTAAACCGAGAACAAATCAAAATAATCCGATTATTTCAGTCAGCAGAAATCATTAAAGCAAGAGTCGCATCAACTCAAAATAAAAAAAAAAAAAGATACTCTATATATATATGCATCTCAGTAGTCAGCAGAAATAAACAAGACACAGAGAAGAGTAAATAAATAAAGTAATCTTTTCCATTTCATTTCATTCTTCGTGTAGAACACCGACGCAGAATAACAAAGAAAACGGGAATGGTGGAGCTTGGGGTTGTATGAGAGAGGAGGAAAACAGATGCCAGAGACAACGGAATGGCGGAGAGAGAGAGAAAAAGAAAGAGAAAGTGGGAAGGTGGGATGGGACAGGTAAGCTCACCGCCAGGAACTTTTTGATCTTGGCGTCAAGGATCTCCTCTCTCTTCCACCGCTCTGCCACCGCCTCACCCTCGCCTGCCGACACACAAACAAAAGTCCAGAATTAGAAAAAGATCAGTGACACGCATGTAAAAAAGGCAGTATATGAGGGATAAATGCAATATGGACTAACCTTAGAAAGGTCAATTCAATTTCTACACAATTGTTAATGTTACATATATATATATATATATATATATATATATATATATATATATATATATATATATATATATATATATGTCGTACCTAGTAGCCAGAACGCACTTATCGGCCTACTATGCAAGGCCCGATTTGCCTAATAAGCCAAGTTTTCCTGAATTAATATGTTTTCTCTAATTTTTTTCTTATGAAATGATAAATCTACCCATTTCATTATGTTTGAGGTAAAAAAAATTTTATTGGAGTTTAAATTAACGTAGATATATGACCAAACCTAACCAACACTATCTAACCTAACCTAACCTATCTTTATAGGGTAGGTTAGGTTAGGTAGCCGAAAAAGTTAGGTTATGTTAGGTTAGGTAGGTTAGGTAGTCGAAAAACAATTAATTCATGAAAACTTGGCTTATTAGGCAAATTGGGCCTTGCATAGTAGGCTGAGAAGTGAGTTCTGGCTACTAGGTACGACATATATATATATATATATATATATATATATATATATATATATATATATATATATATATATATATATATATATATATATATATATTCATAGAACGGATGATATAAAATATAATAATAAGTATTGGCTAAAATATCAAACCTTAAATAAATTATTATGTTTTAATGCTTACAATATCTTTACTTTTATATCTAATTATTTATTGCTAACAAGCAAACCATTAGAATGGTCATGTCTTCAAGAAGAGATAAAGTTATCCATGTCTTCAAGAAAAGATAAAGTTATCCATGTCTTCAAGAAAAGATAAAATTATCCATGTCTTCAAGAAAAGATAAAATTATCCATGTCTTCAAGAAAAGATAAAATTATCCATGTGGTGAAGAAGAGAAATAAAACAAAATCAATAAAGTCCAAGAATAAGAATAATAAAAACTCACGACAAGCTCAAATCGCTAAAATGTAAGGAAAGTCTTGGGCCAGATATTGTAGATGATTAAAATATATTATAAAGCGAGTCAAAATATGAGATCTGAAAGTTTCGTTTTGGTCAGATTTAAAAACCTTGAAGATCGATAACTCTAAAGCTAGAATGGTCAGAAAACAAGGTCAGAGAAGTGAAAAGTTGTAGAAGAGTGAAGTCTGAAAGTCTGAGAGGTTGGATGAGATACAGGCAAGAGGAAGGTTCAAAGTTTAAGTATTCAAAGTTCAAATGTGAAAAAAATGTAAATATTCAAATGTTACAAAGTTCAACGAGACCAAAAGTTTAGTTTGTAAAACTCAAGTCAAGTTCTAGCAATAATTAGTTAACCTAATTATTGTTAGGTGAATTGTTATTGTTGAAAGTCTTTTGAACCTCTTCTTACATCTGTTGTTGTCTACAACAAAACAAATCAATTAAAAATCCAAAAAGAATTAAAAAATCCCCCCCCCCAAAAAATACATAATCCAAAAATAATATAAATACAAAAAAAATAAAAACTCTCCCCCCCCAAAAAAAAAATCCAAAATAAAAAAAAAGTTAGAATGCATCTGTTGCATTATCTAATATAATGACACTTAAAGATGTCATTATTTAAAGATGTAATAATGTCTTCAAAGAAATTATTACAATTAAATGTCTAAGGCAATTCATAAATGAACACAGGCCACACGACATGTATATGTATACATAAGTATTATGCAGACCTCCCACTGTAAACATTATTTTCTCGTGCATCAGTATGAATATTTTATTTGTACAATATGTATATACATAGTGAATTAATTTGCAGGCCACACAATATGAATATGCATATATATATGTAAGTTATGTGAGGGTCACAAAATGTGAATATTTATATTCAGGTCATGTTCAGGTCACACAATATGTATATGTATACAAGTTAATATCCAGGTCACAAATTATGTATACTGACGTCATGTAAAGATCACACAAGATGTATATCTTAGTAAGGCATGTGTATAAGTTACTCATAGTATGTACGTATATTTAGGTCCCATAACGATCATACAATATGCATATTAAAGTCACTTACAGGTCACATAATATACATATCTAGGTGAATGGGTAGATAAATAGATAAGCTATACACACACACACACACTCAAGATCAAGTTCATAGACATTGTGTATGTGGAATAAAAGTCAAATTTGCAATGTCCATGCAATTATTTCAAGAGGTCACTCTATGTTCCTTTCAATGAAAAGATGAAATCATGAATTGTAACTCCCCCTCCCAAAATAAAAGCCAAAATATATATTTACAATGAGAAAAATGATCAGACTCTGATGTTCGGAATTATATAATGAATTGAGCCTTTGATAATGGAAAGTTCGTAGTTTGTAGAAAGTGGGAAAAATATAAAAATTATGTATATACGTGTGAAAAAGATCAATATATATATATATATATATATATATATATATATATATATATATATATATATATATATATATATATATATATATATATATATATATATATATATTAGTATATTTTGGTAGCAGTCTTTCCTGTAGACATATATTATTAAATATGACCAAAAAAGTAAGATTAATAATTCTAACACAAATTTTCTCAATCTTTCGTACATTTCTTTTCACTGTTGGAGGTAATTCAAAAATCAATTCTCTAAAATTCATTTTTATTTCTAGTCTGACGCGACACTTGAGCGCGTTTCGTAAAACTTATTACATTTTCAAAGACTTTACACATACACAACTGAATAGAACTTACATATCTCCGATTTGTTTATATCTACATTTGAGTGAGGTGGATGGGGTGAGGTGGTATTTAATAGGGTATTAATTTCATCAACACAAGACAGAACACGAAACAATGGGTATTGAAATGGAAGTGATTGTAGAAAGCCTATTGGTCCATATTTCTTGATGCTTCTATATTGGAGCGGAGTCTTGAGGTGGGTAGAATATAGTTGTGCATTAATTGGCTGTTGATTGCTGGTGTTGACTTCTTAATGTGCAGTGCCTCGCAAACGTCAAGCCGTCTGCTATCGCTGTATCTATCGATGATTTCTGTGTTGTTTACAAGGATTTCTCTGGCGATGGTTTGGTTGTGGGAAGAGATTATATGTTCCTTAATGGAGCCCTATTGCTTATGCATCGTTAAACGCCTAGAAAGAGATGTTGTTGTCTTGCCTATATACTGGTTTTTTTGGAGCTTACAGTCCCCAAGTGGGCATTTGAAGGCATAGACGACGTTGGTCTCTTTTAAAGCGTTCTGCTTTGTGTCTGGAGGGTTTCTCATGAGTAGGCTGGCCGTTTTTCTGGTTTTATAGTAAATCGTCAGTTGTATCCTCTGATTTTTGTCTGTAGGGATAACGTTTCTATTAACAATATCTTTCAGGACCCTTTCCTCCGTTTTATGAGCTGTGGAAAAGAAGTTCCTGTAAAATAGTCTAATAGGGGGTATAGGTGTTGTGTTAGTTGTCTCTTCAGAGGTTGCATGGCGTTTCACTTTCCTTCTTATGATGTCTTCGACGAAACCATTGGAGAAGCCGTTGTTGACTAGGACCTGCCTTACCCTACAGAGTTCTTCGTCGACTTGCTTCCATTCTGAGCTGTGGCTGAGAGCACGGTCGACATATGCGTTAACAACACTCCTCTTGTACCTGTCTGGGCAGTCGCTGTTGGCATTTAGGCACATTCCTATGTTCGTTTCCTTAGTGTAGACTGCAGTGTGGAAACCTCCGCTCTTTTCCATGACTGTTACATCTAGAAAGGGCAGCTTCCCATCCTTTTCCATCTCGTAAGTGAAACGCAGCACGGAACTCTGCTCAAATGCCTCCTTCAGCTCCTGCAGATGTCTGGCATCAGGTACCTGTGTAAAAATGTCAACATACCTGCAGTATATGGCCGGTTTCAAGTTCATGTCGACTAAGACTTTTTGCTCGATGGTACCCATGTAGAACTTTGCAAACAGGACACCTAGGGGAGAACCCATGGCGACCCCATCTACTTGCTTATACATGTGCCCATCCGGGCTCAAGAAGGGTGCCTCTTTAGTACAAGCTTGGAGTAGTTTCCTCAGAATATTTTCTGGTATGTCAAGAGGAGTACAGGCTGGATCACGATACACTCTGTCGGCTATCATCCCGATTGTCTCGTCCACAGGTACGTTGGTAAACAGCGATTCTACGTCCAACGAGGCTCTTATCCCTGTGGCCCGTGTGCCCCGCAGTAAGTCAACAAATTCCTTTGGAGACTTCAGGCTGAAGGCGCAAGGAACATAAGGAGTCAGCAGGCCGTTGAGTCGCTTCGCCAGTCTGTACGTGGGTGTGGGTATCTGGCTAGTGATTGGCCGAAGTGGGTTTCCAGGCTTGTGTGTCTTGACATTTCCATACGCATATCCAGGTTTATATTCCCCAATGATCTTTGGCAGGTGGAGTCCGGATTTCTTGGCGTTCACAGTTTCGATCAGTTTGTTGACCTTTGCTTTCAATTCGGCTGTAGTGTCCTTCGTTACCCTTTGGAACTTAGTTTGGTCAGAGAGTATGAGGTTCATTTTCGCCAGATATTCGTCTTTTTTAAGAATGACATATATTGGCGACTTGTCACCTCTCCTGACAACTATCTCCTTGTTCTCACGAAGGCTTTTAGCTGCCGCTTTAAGCTCGGGGGACAGTATGGTGCTTCTGTAATTGCCTCGATTCTTTCCTCCTTCTGCAATAAGTTCTGCTTGTAAGGTATCTTTGGAAAATTCGTGTTAGAATTATATATATATACCCTTGCTGGGACTAGAACCTCCGTCCGCGTGATGTAAAGCCAAATCGGTCCTGACATTTGAGTGGACAGTGTTTCGGATTCGTAGTCCTGAGGTTCCAAGTTCGATCCCCGGTGGAAGCAGAGACAAATGGGCAAAAAGTCTCTTTCACCTTGATGCCCACT